ATTGAGTGATATGTCCTCACCTTAGAGGAGTGTGTGTAAAGGGCTTTTGCACCTTTGATGTCACAAATATCATCTGACTTTTTGCTGCACGTCTTGTGAGTTTGTGTTACAGTAATGAATGTTCGCGTTAGTATTTTGCACAGAGGAATAAAGAAATTAAAAGGCTCTATTTCCATATACTGTATACTATATTGTGCATTACCTGCACATAAGTGGGAGCATTTGTCATCACAGTCAAGTTCTGTTGTAATGATTTACACCAGCAGATGCATTGGCAAAGATTGTGACTTATCAATTGCTGCACTCATCATGAGAAAAAGAAAAATGATCATCAGGTGACTCAGAAATATAGAAATCCCTGTTATGAGACTTTTACAATTCACCTTTTTACAGACAGGGGCAATGCATAACTTGAGTCTTCAGACTCAAGTTATGCAAAACCGACAGTCATAGTTTAAAAGAAAAAAAAGTACATAAATGTGAATCAGTGTATGAAAATCTAAGCATCTAAACCCTCAAAATGTTGTTTGTAGTACTAAAAGCAGCATGTGAACTATTTGCATATTGAAATTTTTGTGTTTTCTTGTGGAGGAAGTCAAAGTGCAATCTTGTTCAAGACAGAAACTGTTCATTCTGTTTTTATTTGATATCTTTGACCAGCAAATTGTATTTATGAAGTAACTTAGGTGCATGTGAAAACTCCCTCCAACGTTTGTATGTGTTAACTGCAGAGGTGGGGGTCTTTGAAGAGGAATTAACGCCTTATGCACCAACATCTCAGTCTGCACAGCAAGGGAAGATGTGTCACCAGCAAGGCTGTCTTTACTGGCATTTGTGTGAGATTACATCACTGATCAAATTAGTCCACTGAACATGAGCTATACAATAACCCCATCACACAACACAGGTAAGAGTGGCAAAATGTGCAGCAGCCTTATTCTTGAGTGCCTCTGTCATTTGGTTGTAAGAGGAAATGATGTCAGATTGCACTTTAGCACAGAGATGCTGAACTTCACCAGAGCTATTTTTGGTGCAATGCTGGGAACATTGATTGGGTAAAAAAGATGATATAACGTGGTGCGTGCACACGTAAATGAGTGTATGTTTGTGTGTGTGCAGAGTTATTACACATATTGTGTTACCATGGTGTTGAAATGCGGTGGCCTAAATGGGATTGTTGTGGTTAGCAGTTGCTGAAGAGAAAAAAAAAAACATCTACAGACAATGTGCGAGCTTCATTTTGTCTGCTTGCGTTTAATCGGATTAAGTTCAGATATTTTATTTAGGCGCACAAATTCAATTGAACTGTTGAATATTGCACGACTTGCAAAATAATTATTATTATATTTTAAGTATATCCTCATGCATTAGTTTCAATTCTTGTTAACATTTTCAAGTCCCGCATTACATCAATTAAAACCTCATGGCACAATTACTCAGGCTTGCCTTGGTTTCATTTTGACTCAATGGTAGTGGTGTGAGTATGACTCAAATCTCACGTAATTTTTCTCTTTTATTTGTTGGTTCATCTGACAGGTGGTTCAGTTCCATTTTCTCACCACTTCTAGGTAAAATTGTTAAAAGGGGAAAATGATCTTCATTTGTGCACACTGTCCTTTGAAAGTATTCACATTTAATTGTGTGGCAAAAAAAAATTATGAAGTGGAAGGAAAATGACACCGGTTTTAATACTGGTTAATACTCGGTTAATACTCTGTAGAACCACCATTTACTACAATTACAGCTGCAAGTCCAGCTGAAGCTCAACCATGTGCAAAGAGCTTAGTGAACGTCAGTTTTCAAATCTTGATCAATCTACTGTTTTTATTTAAAAAAAAATATGAAACTCATTACCATCTGAATGCAAGAAAATGACAGAACTTGCTGCTTTTAATGGTGCATTCACACCAGCACTGTTTCATCCACTTTTATCAGATTGTAGTATGTTTGAACAGAAAGCGGTTTGCTTGGAGTTGTGTGAATCTGCAGTCAAACTCTGGTCTGCCTAAAAACATAGGTCTTGGTTTGATTGGTGTAAACGCTGTTTGAATGCATTATGTGAATACCAAGTGGATCGGAGACCGCTTCAAAAGCAGGACGTGAACTACAGTGCAAGGCATTCTGGGTAAAGACAACCAATACAACACAGCTTCAGAATCTACGTAAATTGCTACCAATATTTATTTGTTACCAATATTTATTGACATCAACCCATGTCATTTTTTATAATTTCCATGGGTTTTTGTTTTTTACTGGTTGTAATATTTTAAACCACTGTCCTTTGTAAACTGTTTTGATCCTGGAAGTCAAAACAGGATCAAAAACAGATACATGGTTGGATATAAACTCTTGCATTGAAGCTCGTTGACCTGATCAAATTGTTTGTGCTCTCCGATGTATCCAAATCAAATCTGACCTGATTTCATGCCTGCAGAACATCATGTGCCACTGCCATGTTGAACACAGTGTTTTTAAGGTATTAGTTTACTATCATCGTACTTTGAATGAACTATTCTAACACGTGAATATGGTTTGATGTGAATTAGCTCTCAAACTTTTATTGTCACTAAATGGCCTATCTGAAGGATCACCCTGCTGTTAGGGCCATCTTCCCATCAAGTCCAGTTTCCATGACAGATGAAAAGAGGTTTCCCTTCCATTTTTTCACCATGGAGATGCTCAGTTCAGAGTATCCAACTACAGATACTACTTAGCATGTAAACCAAGAGGTTCAGTTTTAGGCTTCTCTACCTGGAGCATCTTCTTCCCCTGCATGGCTTGGGCCAAACAGAAAAACAGGACTTGGTTTTGATTTTTCTGTCATCAACAACCTTCATCATGCAGATCTTCCATAACAGCCATTTTTGTGTAATGGCTGTTGCACAAGTTTTGCTTGTGCAAAACTTGTGCTGTTGCACATTATTAAACCATCAAACACCTGAAACTATAATCATGAGTTGTTTCCTGGACTAATCATTTTGTGCTGTGACTGATACAGTTGAAACTTGTTTCATGACTTGCTGTTATTAGAAATGGGGTGACTATAAAAGTAAGAGTCCACCTCCACCAGTTACTGTAAATGTGATAAAATTTTTCAACGGTTGTTTGCACATTTTGGGGTAACATTATTTTATGTCGTGTGCATTTATTAAGTATTTGCTTTCAAAAGTAGCAAGTTGTGTTGGAGTTCATTTATGCCACCTCATTTTTGGCTGATCAAGAAGTTGTGGGGTATAGCTACGCTGAATTAATTATTATGGTTAAGCTGAGTTATTTATACTATTTGAAAAGCAGAAGAAGGTTAAGTTAAATCGACTGTTTTGGAAGATGCTGCTCGATTAAGAGTTAGGGAGCGAGTTATATTTCCAAGCATGCCAATGGAAAGTTGAGTGGAAGGCAGAAAATAGGTGCACAGGCAGGAGAGAAAATAACACTCTGAAGAGGATTGTGAAACAAAATCCAAGAGTTTAGGAGAGAATCACAACTTCTGGACTGTAGATGCACTAAGTACTTTAATACGTCAAACACACGGCTCTTGGGCTCTGTTAAGTTACTGCGTAAGCAGAGACAACTTTAGAAGTGTCTTACCTGAGTGCTAATAATGGTACTCTAAAACAACAGGAGTGAAAGGATCCTTTAGGTATCCTTTCTCTTGGCTGAGTGCTTAAGTCATCAGCAGCTCAGAAAGCAGCAGGTTGTTGGCTTTTACCCAGACACTGCTGATACCAACGTTGTTACTGGCCAGGCAAGCAGTCCGTCCTGCTGACTCAATTATAAGCAAAGACTCAGAGCCAACTGGAGGACATGAGCCTACTGTAGGAAAGTGCTTTGTAGTGTAAATCTGTTTTAAAATGCGGTCATAAATTCAAGGCATCATCAGCTGTAATAGTTTTGATTGTCAAATATAATTTCTGAACTACTAAATTGTGGGATGTCTAATAGATTTCCGTTAAAGACATCTCAAGTGTTGTAAAGAAGTGCCATAAAAAAGTAAAAATGTCATCAAGCTGTTTATTTCTACCTGTTTCTTCAAACTACAGTAGGTAACTTTTATAGAAACACAAGTTCTTAAAATTGTCACTTATGTTATAACATTATAATCTGTGACAATCTGTGATAATCTGTGATAATCTGTGACACTGCAGGGAGAATGCAGTTTTTGTCAGCTGTAAGTCATGTTAATCAAAAATAACAGAATAAACCTTTGAAATGTATCAGGAAATAGAATCATTCAAATAAATCACATCAAATGACTGAAACGAATGAATGTGTTCATAAAGAAAACCAGCAGAATTTGGACCATTAACAAATGATGAGTGCATGTATCTCATAGTTTTAAACATCATTTATTTAAATTCTTACAGCAAAAGATCATAAAAGATTGTATTTTAATACTAAAACATTCAAACGCACTGTGATAAAGGGGTTAAACAAGAAGGCTAAATGTGCCCACACAAGAAAACCAAAGTTGTCAGTTGTCATATTTTATTGTTTGCGACCAAGAACACACCGCTGTCATCAGTTTTGATCAACCTTTAGACATGTCAAATAAGCTAACGTTGAAGCTACGTGGATAAATTTGACCGTCTGATCGTTCCTTTAGATGGTTCACAACTTATTTTATGCTGTGATGTGCAGTTATGTTATGTCTCGAACCACAACTATTTATGAAGACATTTTCAAATCTAAAACATGTACAGACTGCAAACCTTGAGTAGTAAATATGCATGATGAGCATATCTTAACATTTCCACTCTTTCGGGAGGCATTATGTAGTGTGAATTGACTTTTTCTTGAATATTGTGAGTCAGGAGGACATATTGGATCACACACTGCTGGTTATGTTGAATGAGATGCTGCTGTACTGTTTGCTTTCAAATAATGTTGCGGTATCAGCTTAGAGAAATTGGGCCGTTTTTTTTTTTAGCAACATTTCAAATGACAGAAATTTAAAATAAACTTGGTGACAAGTAGGCACAAAAGAACTGAAAAACTCCCTTGGTTCTTGTCAGTCGGAGATGTATTGTCTTACTGGAGAACTTTTGTCTTTCCTTGTTTTGTGATGTGGGACGGGTTGGTACTGAAACCCTGGTACTTGCTGCTCCTCCTCTTTGTCAGAAGTGGCTCTGGTGGGATGGGGCTTCGGGAGAAGAGTCCCAGGACAAGCAGAGTAGGGTGGCAGCAGATTTCGAGGAAGAACAAGAGGTGGTAGGACACCAGATCCACCTGTGCCAGATCCGTTTATATAAGAATAGCCCCTCATTGTGTGTAGGGCATATGCAGGAATTAAAAATGGGTAAGAAGACTGGTGATTAGCCACAGAGGAAGAGTCTCTGGTGCTCCAGTAGGGATTCCCCTGCAGGGATTGGTTATAGGTGCTGTGCTGGATGCTGCTGTGGGAATGATGCTGCAGTTGGTTGCTTTGGCGACCTGTGTATGCTGTGGACTGAGCGAGGCCAAAATGTAGCTTGATGGCCATTAATTCAGAACTAAGCCTGGTGTTTTCTTCTTTCAGAGCCATGAAATGAGACTCCAGGGCATAGTCATTTAACTTCCTCTTTTCCCGTGACCGTTTGGCTGCCTCGTTGTTCTTGCGACGCTTCTCCCAGTAGAGGGCATCCTTCTTTTCCTCGGGTATGAATTCCCTCTTGCGACGAGGTCCTTTACGCACCAGATCACTTTCAGCGTGGAAAGCAGTGCTGTCTTCACCTCTTTGGAAAGGGAAGGAAAGGGACTCCATGCTAAGGTAAAAGAAACACAAAGAAACGACCTAAAATAAAAGAAAAAAAATGAAATAATTACTTGCAAAGATGCACAGATTTGTCACAAAAAATTCTAGAGAATTACATGATAGAAATGTTAAAGTAAGCTGTCTCATCAGTTTGTGCTCTGGGTAAAGCCCTACATCGGCCCTTTTCCCTCAAACCGCACCCAATAATCCACTGATAAAGCCTTTACTACAGAAAACAGTAACTTTACTTTTTAACTTATCAGGCAAAATAGGAACTGAAAACAATTTGTCTAATTGAAGACGGTCTTGTGTCAGAAAAAAATCCTTTTCAAAAGCTAGATATACTTAAAGATAAACACATGATATGGCAAATAAAGATATACACCTCAAATTTGAAATATTATGGCTGAATAGGACAATGCTTTTGTGGTAAGTATCACATTAAGAGATGAATTTGTTGGAGTTCTTTTATAATATTGATTTTTTGTTTTTCTTTAATCTGTCTTATCCTGTTTGTATTTTGTTTTAAGTTGAAGTCTACTGTTTGTTGTTCTTAAATATGCTATATCAATACATTTGACTTTTGATAGAAGGGAATATGGTATTACTTTCCCTGGCATTCATAACCTGCATGTTTCAACACCAATTACAGACAAAACTGTCTGACCAAACTGTGGTCACATTGATCTCTCCCATAATCTGCTGGAAGCTGTGATAATTCTCTGCTCAGTAAAACTCACGTGTGTTCACACAATGGTACTTTATCATGCTGCCCCCATGAGTTTATCCACATTTAAGAAACTGTGCTTAGGAATAATTTTACGAAAAATTTCTGAAAAGTTTTGATAGGAAATTGATAAGGTATTATAAAACATCTTCAGTGCCCTCTTATATTTTAACTTTGTGCACTTTAGTGCAAATGCTCATGCAAGCGACCAGCTACTTGAACAGTAATCTATGTGCAACAAAGTTATTGAGGGTGAGAATTACCTCATTGCATTTAGGTATAGAATCATCCACCTATAGGTGGGGTTGTCAAAAACATCTTAGATTTAGAACTACAGCACGATAAACTGAAAATGCGATTACATGAAAAAGTTCTTCAAATCAAGATTATGAATCAGATTCAAACTTTAGCATCTGCAGCAATACTTTTCCCATTTATCGTGCTCAACATGAATGTCTATCTCTGACTGACTAGACACACAAATAAACAATAGAAAACAAAAAGATCAGTTCACTTGAATGCTGCAGTTAGTGGTAAAAACCACTGCTGTGACTCATAATGTTACAACACACATTGGTAAAGAAAAAAAAATGCAGATTTTTATAGACAAAACCTTAATAGGTTGAGAAAATAAACTCACAATGAATTTAGAAGTGTACTGTGGTTTATCTTGTAATTCAATCAATTCCACAGAATCTCAATCTATAAAAACCTTCAAAACTGTGCATGCTTGTTCTTAAAGTAGAACAGAGCTGAAGTGTTTTCAGCTCCTAACACCTTCCACCACTACGGAGGTGCAGTCGCTATACCTAAGCTCTGTCATTCAAAATCAACCTCTTCTGCTACCCTGACCCAGTGTCACCTCCTACCTGTCTAGACCACTTGAAAAAATATGACAGGAAACAGAAACTACTTCTTTCCTTAGTTCTACTTTCCAAGTGTCAAAGGTTTATCGTAATTTGGGCTGCATTGCGAGTGACCAACAATAAAGTTGGAGTTACTCTAGAAAAAAAAAAAAAAAGTTTTAGGATTGCTGAAGCCCAGTCTTGAAACCTGAAACAAAACCTTTGCAAGAGGCAAAGTTTGCATCACGTGGTGAGACAATTATAAAAAGCGATATTGGATTAACATGTTGTGAGAGATGTTTATTATTCCACAACAGCAACTGGCGAACAAAAGGGGCCCAATAACAGAGGTTTTAGGAGTCCAGTATGAAATCTTTGTTTGCTCAAATTTATGACTATTGGACACAAAGTAGGATTGCCAAATAAGATACACACAATCCAGTTTCAGACAAAGTTTTCAGTAGCCACAAAGTTTTTGAGGAATCCAGAAAACTAAATATGAAACAATGTGATTGCTTATATTTATATGATCTGAGTTTGACCAGCGGAGCAGACCTAATTAAGATAATACCTCAGATGAGCCTGCACATTTTTTTGATTCTTACTTGATCTCTCCTTGTATTCCCATGGTCTTTCCCAAAGCTTTGTACCCTGCTTTCTGCTTATCAATGGGACTTTAAAGGTTTCAGGTTGACCTTAAGAAGAAAATATTACCAATTTCTGGCAAATTCTTGGTCATTAACATAAATTTATGTGTGGCTTTGAGGGAAACCTTACCTAACGTGAGATGAGTAGACCCGTTAAAACCACAGCGTTCACACTCCTCTGCGTGCGATCACAAACAAATTTCTCCACTTAGAGATGTAACTTTTAGCCTATGTGTTTTTCTCACACCTTTATGCTTAAAAAGTCACTTCAATCTAACAACATGGTCTCATTGTATGCTTGCAGCTAAATGTGATACCTCATGATGGAAGCTGTCACTCAAGATGTCACACATAAGTGCTCTCTTGGGAACAAAGTGTAGCAAAGTGCTACTTCAAAATGGAAAGGCGGCGTTTATTTTCAAACTTCGTTTTCCTTAAAATTATTTTCGTTTAGCTTTCGTGGCAGTTTTGCTCTCCATCTTGTTGTGAATTTGCATGCGAGTGCAACGCAGTGGCAGATGCATCAAAGCCAGAGTTTAAAAGAGGCCCAGTCAAGCACCCTGTGTGTGGTGGCGAGAAAACACATCGGGTTAAAAATATTCAAACCCATGCTCAGCAACACTGCATACCCTGTGTGTGAGATACTGCACACCTGCATATACACTACTGTGGGGCACTGACTGTTGTATATTTAAAAAGCAGCAACAGGAAAAGCGAGAACAATAATCACTCAGGGAGACACAGATGAAGAGAATATAAAAAAAAGGGTTCCTGAGTGAAATCTCTCTTGAGGTCGAGCCTGCTCACCACCCCTGCTGCACCTGTTTCTTATTGACTAATTATAGCCAGCCTGCTTTTTAGTAAGGAACTTTCAAACTTCTTCTTTTGGTGTCTATCCGTTTTCATGCAGTCTGCCATCTGTTGTTGTGTTGCTCTACGAGAGGCCAGTCATTGCTAAAATAATCTCACATAGAAAAGCATTAGTCTTCTGCTTGGAACGACTCTTCTCCTAATTACATCGTTTGTGTTTGTTTTAAACCGTCATCGGTAAAGTTCTAGTGAATAAATTCCCATTTGTGGGAATTAATCCATGCAGCTCAACCTCAATCGTTTGCTCATGACGATCGCTGACGACAGCTAATAGCATTTATCCTAAAATATCACATCTGTGTTATTTTTCTGGTTTGTAAAATTTTTATATTTAAGATTTATTCAAGTCCCGAGTGGGCAATTAATGTTACAACAAGTACGTGAACATAAAAAGACATCATGTTTAAAAAGTTAACAAGTAGAAAACAATCAAACATACCAAAAAGACATAAATATAAATCAGTACATGATGGGAAGAGTGCAGCAATGTATATCATTGTCGACTGACAGTTGCTACAAAAACATCAATGATCTATGAAACAAAAATCAACCAGGAGTCAGGTATGAATCCTCTATCTACCTCGTCCTGCATTAAAAAGAAAAATTGATGCAGGAACAAAAGGAGTGCTTGTTGCTTTTCATACAGAGAAGTCTGAGCCAGAGGCAGAAACTGGGACTCAGCATGTAAAGAGTGAGAGCTGTCAGCAAGATTAGCACTATGTCTGTAGTTCAACTCCTTGTATTACTCCGCTAAGTGCATTTTCTGACCTAATACTAAGATCTCCAAATCAACAGAGGAGACAAAACATCGGCACAGATTCAATATATAATCTATAAAATGAGGTAAAAAGGGGCCCGGCAACAGAATCTTTGTTTTTCAGTTTCATTTTTCAGGCTTGTTTCTCAGTTTACACAAAATATTCCAACAAACCAGTTCATTTACAAACCAGTAAAGCTTAATCCAACTTATTTCACATTCAGACTAATCTTACATGTACAACAAACATCTGTCTTCATTGTAACGTTTTACATTTTTTTACAGCTCTTAAACCAATCAGAGTTTGTTGCTGTTATTACAGGAAGGCAATTTTTCTTTTTTTAAAATCTATTCTACAAACTAATAATATTAATATGCTAACTGGACATGTTTTATTTGTTTTCTGAGTCCTAAAACACTGCAGTTTCCTTGGTATTAACCATGAAAAGTTTCAGACATGCGCCTACACACTCAAAGTTCATAAACAGACACAAACCACCTCACAGAAACCCACAAAATGATAATGAAATGATGACTTAGTCACTAAACTAAATCAAAAATCGCAAGACACAAAATTTGGCAAAATTAATTTGAATGACAAAGAGAAAGAATTAATTTCATAAAATGTGATTTATTTTGTAGCAACACGTACAGCTTCTGCAAAGCAAACCAGATGAAGAGTGTTGTGATTATGCCTATGGCGAAACACAGAGGGGGTACCATCATGCTGCGGGATAAATATTCTGTAAATTTGGCAGGAAGGTTTGCTTATTTAAGTAAAAGCATCAAATAAAACTTTTGACTTCAATTATGAAGATTCAAGTCAAGTCAGTTTATGAAGACTGGCTTAAAGTACAAGAAGAGTTTGGAATCTACATTTATAGATATTTGGACATGAGGCCTATCACTGATCCATGGGGAATCCATTTCATTGGACCACAAAAGCCGGCTTCCCCTTATGACGGCAAGGGGGTAAAACAAACAACCTATGGACCTGGGTAATCTACATAAAATAAATAGTTAATACATGTCTCTTACTGCAAACTGCTGTTTCTTTTAGTTTGTGAAGAAAGTCTAAGTTTGATTTGGTCCAGTAGTTTTCGATAACATGTGGATCAACAGTGTTGCTCTTCAGACGTGACCATCTGAAGTGCAGCAGGGACAATTCCAGAGACAAGGGAACAATTAATCTCTGATATCTCAGATGCTAAGAAGTTAAATGTGGCTTTAAAATAACTAACTAAATAAATAACATTCAGACACACCATTCAGTTTTAAAGTTGTGAAGAAACTTGAAGTTGACTGTGCCCAACCCTGATGGCGCAGCGCTCGCCCCCTCCTTGGTCTTTCTTATTCCAGGCAGCTGTAGACAGCTATTTCCTGCTGGGTGGGTTTAGGCTTTCTTACAGTTACTGCTCTTCTAATCTTTATCTTCAGAAAGTATTTTATGACAGGGACAGTGGGTACAACTTCAGGGAAACGCTGAATTTCAAAATATGTAGTGTCCAAGCAACTGTGAAAAGATTTTACATGACTGTAGCTGGGGTCAAACAATGGCGCATGCTGAATATGGAGCGAAAACAATGTCCAAACATCAACCAGTCTATAATTAAATACAAAGCTAAGTTACTCACATTGTACAGAGAAGAAGGGAATTAACACAAACATGAGTTTTTTTGCTTACTTCCTTTTGTGTTACTATTGCCATTATTGGGAGCTTATTTTTGTTATCTTACTAACATTATTATCATCATTCTTTTTCTTTCTGCTTCACTAAACTTTATTTATTGTAAAATAGATTAAGAAGAATTTATCGGTGTACACTGGCATGGAGTTGGTCATTTTCATTATTACTATTATTATTATCAGTAAATGTTCTTGTCTTTTTATTAGCTAGTTTGCAATTTTGTTTATATTATATAATTTATGTGTTGGCTCATTAGCACAGTATTTTGAACAGGCACATGAATATTATTACATGGTTTTATTTACAAATTTTTCTAAATACTGAGTTGGTAGGTAATATATTTCATTAAATTGAGATAAGGGGTAATATTAAATAAGTGTTCATTTCTTCCTGGTCCTTTTCAAATAAAAAATAGTGGTAAACAAATTATGTTATTCTAGGTTACGTATGCACATGGTTTCCCTGTCCCACTGATTCCTTGTTTTCTTGTTTTTAAAAACCTGTTTGAAATAAACAAATTGATTTAATTTAACAAATTAGCACAAATACCTACTCCATACACACAGACACACCTGTCCATACAGGAATCCATACAAATAATCCAAAAGGCTAAAGGTCATACGAACAGTTTCATATTTAACAAGTGCAACTTGTCTATTTTGATGCTAGATGCAAACCCTAAAAGCAATCAAACAGTTACTTTACCATGACTAGCTACATGTAGTCGAGCAGATTATCTATGAGGCTTGCTTGATTATAGTGACATGACATGAAAAGAAAGCTTCACGTAACTTTTGGATTGTTTCAGAAAAGGCTCAACTGCAAGTGGTGAAGCAGGTACAAAGTTTGCTTTTGAATACATTCCATATTTTCACCAGTAAATAAACACAATTTTTCATACACTAAAAAAAGCTAAAAAAAATTGAAAAGCATTCTGAAACATTTTCAAATGAAGAACACATCAGGGGTTTGAACACAAAATATTTATATTTACCAATCAGGAACACAGAAAGTATGCTAAACATTTGCTGAGTTCAGCTTTACTGTCACAAAATCGATAAGAAATAAAGACCACACCATGTGGATACTAGCAAAAGTACTTTATGAATCACTGACAAGCTGTAGGAGTTGAGAGTTCCCATTTGAAAACGTTTTTCTTTTAATCTAAAATGCTGTCACATTGAGACGAGCCTTTCTGTACGGTCTTACATAACGGATGTGCCACTCAATATATTAACGGTATGTGAATGTTGCAGCTTCCTGCTTATTGCAATACTGTAAACACCATCTTGTCTAAGCCACTGATTTTCTTTCTCTTAATTTTTACTGCAATCCAGAGTTGAACGTTTGAACTTTATAAGGAAGTGGATTTGAAAACGTCGCACAAACTAATTTAATTTGGTGATCAAAATCCGTACTTGTTTAATAATCTCAAGCAGTGTCACTTTTATTAGTTTTTTTTAATTGACTGCTCTACATGCAGCAGCAAGTTAATTAATCAAGAAATAAATGCACTACCAACTACACTGATGCGGTAATTAATACGCTATCCACAGTTATTTGTTAACTCTTTGATGAATCGTTTATTCACACACTACTGCAGAGTAAATTAAATTACTGCATTGAGATTGTTTTTACTTTTTATCACCACATAAAACAATGTAAAGGGAATTTTGCAGTCTGAGATTACATTTTGTTCAAATTCAAATGATTGTCACTGAACGCATCATAAAGATTCACTCTGTACCGTTATAAAAATTTTGTAAAAATTATTAAATTCTTCTATGCACTTTTTGAGAAAGTTAGTAAAAAGGTAAACAAAACAGGTTAAATAATTCAGAACTGAAAAAACATCTCTGCATTATTGTTTTATTTAATTAAATACAAACACGTCGCTTCCGCGTAATCTTTGTTTTTTAAGCACAGAGACACTTCCTTTCTTGAAAGCACTTGAATAATGAATAGTCACTTATGCATTATCATAAGAAAATCCATCTTATTTCAAAGATCCAATGTTATGAGTCACTTGACCCACTTAAAACCATTTTGACTGAACATGAAAAAAGGAATTTTCAATTTGCTGAGCTGACTGGGGTTTTGTCACCATGTTTCAAGATAGTGAGATACAATCACCACAATTTAATGTTCACAAATACATAGAAAAACGTTTGATTATTTCATCACAAACACTTCAACCATTTCCTTCTCCAAATCTATGTCTTGCATGAGCAGAACAGTGGCCTTACCTTCAGACTCCAAACTCCAGTGAACCCGAGCTGCTGGTGAACCCGTAGCAAAGTCGTGGTCTCACGAAGCATAAAAGTGTAACTTAGACCCCCTAACTCTGCTGTGAGGCTGCACCAGGTGAAAATGCTGAAGAGAACCAGAAGGGATAACGCAGCAGCTTGCTTCTCACCTCTTTCTCTCTGCCTTTGTGTTGTTTTCCTGTATTCAAGTCTGACTGTCCACCTCTGTTGTCAAATGAAAAGAGACTGACTCCCCCCTTGATCATAACCGTGTTGTGGTATCAGTGGCTTGCCAACACAGGGGTTCTTCCCTCTGCAAAACTGCTGCTGATTTTCAAATACATTTCATGTATTGTAATATAAAACTGCATGAGTACAATATTACGTTTTTCTCCAGAAAAGCACTTTGTCTCATCGCTCTGTGAACTGCAGCTGCGTTCATGTTCATTTAGAAGCTCTGTCGGACGACTTCACACTTCAGATTCTGACCTGATTTGTCTTTCTTGTAAAATGAAAACCTTTAGAGTTGTGTCGGATGCAGCAGTAGAAGAGGCAATATGAGTCAAATTCAGTAAGCGACTGACTTACTGAAGCACAATGGGGTGGAGAAAAAAATCTTAAGTGATGCTTTTCACAGTGGTTTTAAATATCTTGTTAGCCTCAGATTCACAGAAAATACAGAAGTCGTAGGGAGTTATCAGCGAAGATGTCAAAGATGACAGTACATGTTAGCAAGTCTGCTTCTGCTTTTGGCAGCACATTTTGCTTACTTTAGAGGCTCGACTGTGACAAGAGGACAACTTGCTGCTAGAGGTTTAACACTTTGAACATGCAGTATGCGGAGTCTTTGTGTAGATAGCGTTTCAGGTTTCACATGAAATTCAACTTACCAATAATGTAAACAATCATTTTGACATGGAGACGGTTCATTGTTTTGGTTGTTTCAGATTTAAGATTGAGGATGAAATGAAACGTGTAGATATGGAAGTAGAACAATCTGCAAAATCGATTCTCGTTTTCTCTTTCATGTGGACTGTGCACAGTGAAAATAATTAGGAAATAACTCAAACCAAACATCTCTAACTTCGAGTCATGATAGTGACTCGAAGTGAGGTATTAGAGTAGCTGAAAAAAATAAATACTTGCATAAAACATATTTTTAAGTTTCAATTCTTTTGAAAATTATAGTTAGAGGATTGAAACTTTATGTCTTGCACATAGATGATATGTGATCAAATCACATTTATAAGACAATATTTTAAGAATTGGGAATCTGACTCAGATTATTCAAAGTAGTTTGGTCTAGACTCATGATATAATGAATACATTTTGGTTTAAACTAAAATGAGTCTAGAAATGGTATTGAAAACTCAAGAGGCTTAATCATCAGTCATGCAACGCTTCCATAAAAGTCATATGATCACAGGACGAGGAGTTTGTCACTATTTGTGTTGTAGCGCCCTCTGCTGGAACTGGCGTCGCTATTTCATACTAAAGTTGGATTCCGCAGAAAGTGATCGATGACTAATGTCAATAAATTGTTTTTGGACCTTCCTTTAGAAACTACTAAAATGCTTTGATGTTGTGCAGCGTTTCCAGAGAATGGATAGGCCTATATTTTCCCAAAAGAACAACGAAAAAGGATGGTAGCAAAAATAATTTAAGTTCATTTTATTAAGTATACTTCAGTAAAGTATAGCAAGCATTAAGTGTACTAGAAAATCTACTAATTTAATTATTCTTCCCAAAAAATCGAGACATTTTTAAGTGTATAAAAAAATGCATACTTTAAGTTTACTGCTATAAGATTTTTTTTCTTGTTTGTTTTTTTGCATACTTCTTTACGCTACACCTTTAATCTGCAGAACGGTATGCCTCAAAGCAAACCTGATGTAAAACACATTCTGCCAAACTGATGGATCAAGACATTTTATGTATCAGTAATTTGTGGAAGAAATAACTGATAAGTTGCCAACAGTACAAATATAAGCTTTAGTATTAAATTATAAGGTAAGTCTTAGACTTTTTTTGTGCTTCTCAGTGGCCAAGTATTCTTCAGTGAATAAAATATAATTTTTGAAAGCAAACTTCGAGTCGCCTACCTGACCTCATTTTTGGTATAAATGAAGCTCACTTGTAAAGTACACTTGAATAAACTACAATAAGACAGTGATCCAAATCCAAACTTCATCAAGAGGGGGGGAGAGTTTATTTCTCATTAGAGATGATGTTCATATTAAAATTCAACACGATCATGTTAAAACTGGGAAGAAATGACGTTACTTCAGGGTTTTTTCTTTATTTTCGTTTTTGTTTTAATTCTGCTTTTGTTTTTTTATTGTTGTCACTTTTTTCCCCTCCTCTCTCTAGTTACTGCAGCATCTCAGTTTTTGGTGGCTTAATTGCGCTTCCCTGCTTGCATGAGGAAAGTTATTGCCCAGGGGTGGAAAATTTTGGTCGTTAAACTGTTGGGTTGAACGGTTGAGGGTTTGGTTTTCCAGTGAATCAAATCGTGCGGGGGAAACACGCAGTGGGGATAAAGGGGAAGACCAACAAACATCCAGTTTCGCTGGCACAATATAGAGAAGTTTTTTTGGGGGGGTTGTTTGTTTTTTTTCCCCTCACCACAGATAAATTGGTAAATAAAATAAAATGAAATATAAATAAATCAAGCAAATGAAGAGAGAGATTTTTTTAAATTCAAACAAAGATCAGAATGCCTCATATTTATTTTGAATTAATGTCATAAATCGGTTGTGTAAAATCGATCAGCACCTGAACAGGAGCGCAACGGGTAACATAAATTCGTGAAACCTCAGAAAATCAGAGCTGGTGTGTTTTATCTTGGAGAAACATGCACACACTAGATCTCCAAATGTCCACCAAGTACAGTATCCCGTACAGGGATTTGTAAATCAGTATTTTGAGCGTCAAGTTGAGCTGCAGGTGTCCACTATTACTGCAGCATCCCGAGTGCTTCTCATTGCTCCGTGTTGAGTCGGCTCATGAACCCCTTCTGGAGGTGCTCCTCCACGCCGACGCTCTGGCCTTGTCTCCCGTGTATGTGGACGGGCCGGCCGGGGTAGACGCTGGGTCTCTGCAGGTATGAGGAGCGCCACATCGCCGGGTGGTTGAGATGGGGCATCGCCCAGTTCTGGTGCGGAAATGGGACCGCGGGGGCATGGTGGAGTGAGTCGAAAGGGGGCAGAAGCGATGCCAAGGCGGAGAGTGGCTGGGGAGGAGCGTCGGTCGAAATGGAGATGTCGCTGCTGCTGGAGGAGACCTGTCGCTGGACGTCGACGTCCCCCTCTGCTGGCCTGCAGAGCCCCGCAACTCCTCCGTGGGAGAGGACTCTGGGGCCTGGCAGAGGCACGGGGCCTTGTGTGACAAAGTAATGACTTAGTGGGTTAAAAACGGGGCTGAAACAAGGAATCTTGCTCTCTAAGTGATGCACTAATGTTTCTTGTTGAAGACCAGAAACAGCAACAGAGCTGCTGCCACCATTGCGCCATCCCGCCTGTAGAAAAGCAGGATTGTGCGGAGATAAAGACAGAGTGGAAGCCAGCACGGATGTAGAGGATGCTGCACAGGAAGGGACAGCTTTGCTTTGTTCCAGACTCAGGTTAGTGTGGTACTGCAGGTTGAGGACCTGAGTCCGCAGCTGGGCGTTCTCCTCACTCAGGGCCAGCAGCTGGCCCTCCATCAGCAGGTCATTGATCCTCCGCTTCTCCCGGGACCGCTTGGCCGCCTCGTTGTTCTTGCGCCTCTTATCCCAGTAGGTGGCATCTTTCTTATCGGCGGGGATCATCTCCCTCTTGCGGCGTCTGACGGGACTCAGGTGACTTCGACATGCTCGTAAACGCACCAGGCGTCGTGCCAGCAGCGAGGGCCGCGTCACCGGGACCAGGCTCGGGTCCGGACCGGACTCCAGGAATCGGCTGCTCTCCAGGGAGGAGGAGGAGGAGGAAGAGGATGAGGAGGAAGAGCAGGACGAGGAAGGCTGGAAGGAGTCGGCCGACTCTGACTCTTTAGGGCTCTTCGTGGTTGACATGGTGCTGATGGAGTTGAAGGAAAATAGTTATTCCCATAAATTGTAAACAAGTGCACTTTCTGATAGAGGAATAAATGGTTCATAGATTATAATAGACATTTCTAAACGGTTCCTCTCGAATTACAATTTAAAGCCAAAAATAAAACAACAACAACAAAAAACGATTGAAAAACACAAACACACGTAATTATTTTTCAAAATATACTAAATATATATATTTACTTATTTCTGAATTGTGTTTGCATCTGGCTGTTCTATAAGACCCTCTGTAAGGCGCAGCTTGACATCTTTATTTTCAACAAGTCAGTGAACGCACCACAACGCCAATGAACCTGACCATTTCCTCCGATTTATTTTTCAACAAAACACAACAAATATGTCTGTAAATAAGATGCCCAAAACAATATAGCGGTCGTATTGAAACCACCCGACAAAACCCAGGCTTGGTTAACTGGATTAAGAGAAACACACCCGAGTCTGAATAGCTGACGACTTTCAGAGACACTGACCTGAACCAGAGGATGGCACCTGGAGGATGATTTGGACCGATCGAGTTTCAAGGAGTCTGCAATACTTTCGCGCACACACACAGACACACACACACACCGACACACGCAGCGCACACGCAACGCACACAGCGTCATGCACAGTCGTCCACTTTGGTGAGAAACTTCACTTTTTTAAAAAACAAGTTTACTGGTGCTACGTGGAGGTTCCGGAGAGAGTTGCGCCTGTAACTCTTCAGACTCGAGCGCCGCTGCGAAACTCTCCGCTGCTGCTGCGCATTCAGCCTCCCTGCGAGAGGCCAGCCAATCACGTCGTGTCACCAGGCTGCCTGTGTGCGCGCTTTGCTGTGGGAGCCGATCAGGGAGGTTTACGGTTGCGCTGTGGCCACGATTAAAGCAACAAGTGATGCTGAAATGAGTCTGGTTGAATCTTTGTCCTAGTTATTTTTCTTGTAAAGTTGCTGGCCACCGATGTTTTGTTTTTGTTTTGTTTTTTTCTTTGTCTTTTTCTTCTTTTTTTTATTTTCCATTCACTGTCTGTACGTTAAAAATTGAAATAATGTGGTTAATGCAAGTTCTAGTTCACTTGAAGGAAACCTTTAATGTTCTCGTG